CCCTGGTAGTATTGTTGAATCCACTGGAGGAAAACGGCGCCTGTTTCTCACAATGCACTGCAGAAACATTTCAGAAAGGATGACAGACTTCATGCAAAGTTTAGAACAGCAGAATAGCAGAACTCCTGCAAGGAGCCACAGCACCTCCTCCAAGTGCTCTGAGTGTCAACGCGGCTGGTTCACAGTGAGAACAGAACGGCTGGGTCACGGGGAAACCAGGGGTGGCGAGAGCATGAGGACCGCAGAGCAGCTGAGTGCACCAACACCAGCCCGAGGCGGGGCCAGCTCGGACGCCTGGTACTGCTCTTCTGCTGGCCTGGCTGACTGTCCTGGAGGTCACCCAGGCTGACCGGAAGGGACCTGATGGCTGACCCGTAGCCAGGGAACCAGACCCACATGGTTGGCCCCAGTTTGAATTCCATCCTTGGTGGTTTGAAACTGCACCAGGTGCATGTAAGTGCATGGGTGTGTGTGTGTGCATGAGCGTGTGCATGTGCGTGTGCGTATGCATGCCTATAGCCTCAGGTGTGTGGCGGGGCCCTCAGGTGTGTGGCGGGGTCCTCAGGTGCGTGGTGGGCCCTCAGGTGTGTGGTGGGCCCTCAGGTGTGTGGTGGGGCCCTCAGGTGTGCGGTGAGTCCTCAGGTGTGCGGTGGGCCCTCAGATGTGTGGTGGGGTCCTAAGGTGTGTGGTGAGTCCTCAGGTGTGTGGTGGGTCCTCAGGTGTATGGTGGGGCCCTCAGGTGTGTGGTGGGCCCTCAGGTGTGTGGTGGGCCCTCAGGTGTGTGATGGTCACTGTGTGTGGGAGCCACTGTGCCAGAGTGAACAGGGTGGGCCCCTGGCTGGGCAGGCTGGCTGCAGCTACACTGGGTCCCCAGGTGCCTCTCATGGTCCAGGGCCTGAGGAGCTCACTCTTGACTGCCGAGGACCCCGTGCCAACAGCGCCGCATCTCTGTTGGGTAGTAGAAACTGGATTTCTCGCTTGCTCTCCGGGCACACGGGGGCCACTCTCCTGCCATCCTTCCACAGCTGGGCGGTCCCCCCTCACTGTCACAGGCACTGGGAGAGGCTGGAGTCAGGCCTGGGCCACGATTGGTCTGCAGGTGCCTGCAGAGGCAAGGGTGGGCAGGGACGCCTCTCGTGGAGCGAGGCAGGGGACATGCAGAGACGCAGCCCGAGTCTCACACTTGGAGCGCAGTAGCAGGGCCTTCAGAAAATGTCATGGAGAACAGATCATTTTGGAAAACTAGGCTTGCATTTCAACACTGTTTTGACACCAAAATAATCTTACATTTTAATTCTATTTCCCAAAAACCCTGAGGTCCCTTGTGTGTAAGCCTGGCCCCAGATGTCTTCCACCTGCAGCCCGGGCAGACCAGGCCCTGAGGCTGAACTGCTGTGGGGAGGTGGGCTGGACTAGGCTTCAAGGAAGGACTCCTGCCAGGGCAGCCACCCAGAGGACCCAGCAGGCCCAGGACCGGCAGATGGGGCAGGGCTGCCGTGCCATTGAGAGGGGCCAGCCTTCGCTCTGCCCTGGTGGCCCCAGGTGGCCTGAGAGCAGGGGCTCCTGGCCCAGTGGAGCCATTAGGCCATTTATGCCTGGACTGCGAAGCCTGGGGTGTGTGGGGCTTAGACAAATGTGGGAGTTCGGGGCAGGAGGGCCCAGACAGAGCCGGGCACCCGCCACTGTTGGGTGAATGTCAGCCCGAAGACGTCCACCTGTGCGCAGCCAACCCCTTTCTCCAGGGTCCAGACACCGATGCTCACAGGGCCCCAGGGCCAGCACCCAGCCTGCCGGCCCTGGGACCAGGGACCGTGCTTCCCGCCTCCGCATGCTGACATCAGGCCTGGACAGGGCCGTCGGCCTTCCTAGACCCATGTCTAGCGTGGACAAAGCCCGAGAGCCGAGTGGGCCCTGGAGCAGCCCTGCTGTGCTCGGGGGGCCAGGCCCAGAGCTGCCGAGGGCTCGGGGGTGTGTGCTGAAACCACGAGAGGTCTCAGTGGCCCACCCAGAGGTGTGTGCTATTGCCCGCGTTGTCTTCTAGAGTGGCCGCAGACGCCCAGCGTAGCCCTGGGAGGGGCAGCCCCAGCACACGCACAGGGTGGCCTTGCAAACAGGCCAGGCTCAGCTGTGCAGTGGGCACCGCGCCACGCCTGCCGCTCGGGCCTCCTGGTAAATGCTCTCGGTTTGGGAAATGCTACTCAGGACGGAGCTGACAGAGTCTGAGACACCAAAAACAATGGCGGCAGGCCCTTGGGACGAGCTGGTGCCAGCTCCGGGCCTCACGAGCAAAGCCAGCCGGAGTGACAGGAAGACGAAACGTGGGCCTCGCTGGTAGAACCACCTGCTCTGAACATCAGGGCCATCCGTCCAGGTGTCCCTGCTCCCCCTCTGGTGCTGCCCAGTCGAAGAACCTGGAGTGCTCAATAAACTCATTCTTTTAAAAATTCAATTCATTAGACATTTTTTAAAAGTTTACTGCAGGCACATGTGCGTGAGGGACAGAGAACGTGAGAAAGCCTCCATGGCATGGCCTTTCTCCAGTCTCGGGATCTGGGTGTGCACACACATACGCCCACGTGATGTTTGAGTCACTGGGCCCAGGACTCAAACCTGGAGATGGTCACGTGGGATCCGGTACCTTAACCTCCACGCCACCTGTGGCCCCGTCTTACTGTTTTTGTGACAGCGAGCAGGCACCTTGATGGGTCTCGTCACGCGGCCCTCCAGTGCCACCTCCCACTCAGCTCGGATTCAGTGCAGGGTGGTCCAAGACCCAGGCCCTGGCCTCCAAATAGCCCCGGCCTCAGGCAGCAGCTCTCTGCTGTCCACGCCACCGTGGCAGCCCTAAGCCTCATGTCCCAGCATGCCCGCAGTTACCATTGCATGCGGGGAGGGGAGACCCTGTTTGACAAACTCAGGAAGCCCTAAGCAGACAGGGGTGACGTTACACAAGCCACCCTCGCCAGGCCGCCTGGAGCCCCTGCAGTGTCTGCAGGGAAACCCTGGCTACATGAGGTGAGTCCTAGGGGGCCCCACAGGGGCAGAGTGGGGGCCAGTCACCAGGGGAGCCAGCAGCTACTTAGAGGGCTGGAGCTCAGGGAGGGCCCGGATGGTAGTTCAGTCGCCAATGGTCGATGGCGAACCAACCGTGGAGGGTCTGGAGCTCCAGGTCAGAGATGCGTGGAGGAGCACAGAGGTGGCCACGGCCCCTCCTCGGGCCATTCCTGTGTGCTTTATATGAACTGTCCTGGGTCTGGGGGCCATTCTCACAAACCTGAGGGACTGCAGGGACACCCCAAGCTCACAGTTGCCAGAAAGATGCCAGCTCCCTCCTGTCCCCTCAGGGCATGTCAACTTTGGGTGGGAGACCAAAGACACCTCTCCGGTTGGGAAGGCCAAGAGAGGGCCGAGATGCACGGGCACAGGAGAGCTATGCAGCCGAGAGCAGGCCTCAGCTCACAGACACACGGGCACCGAGGACCCACATAGCCAGCCTCGCAACAGCCTCTGTTCACACGGGTCGGTCTCCCCAAGGTGCCACCCAGACACTCGGTCCTGTCCCTCCTGCGTCCTGGCAGCCTGTGGGGGCCGTGTCCCTGTGACTGAGCGTGGCTCCCTGAGAAGACCAGGCCCTGCAGTTTCTTGGAGTTGGCATCCTGTTTCCTCGGTGGGAAGTAAACACTGAGGGTTCCCTGCCAGTGGGTCCTCAGGGAACCAGAGGGAATGGCTGGCATGCGCAGGAGGGACACAGAACGGGGCCGGCCCCACTTGCTCCCTGCCTGCAGGGCTGCCTCTCTGCTGCTGGGACAGATGGCCTTGTCCTGCAGCCGGCGTCCACTCCCAACCTGCCTCTGCGATGGGGCCCGGGGAACCTCACCGTGTGAGGAAGCTACTGCACCCCAAACTAACCTCCTCCCCAAGGCATCCTCCATCTTGGGCCTTCAGGGCCTGTTGTGGCTTCTGGAAACAGTGGCGGGTCCCTGGGAGGCGTTGCCCGGTGGCCCTGCCTGGCCCTCGCTGACACTCCCCTGGCTCTGCAGCTGCATCCTTGCCCATGCGGTGGTGCCCCCGGCTCCTTGGTCAGAGCCAGACGGGACAGACAACCTACTCCTGCAGCCACTGCCCTGCACAGTCGGGCCCTGTGTCCCCATCACCCTGTCAGAACTGAACAGGTGTGCCCAAACATGTGTGTGGACCATGGAGGCACAGAAGGTCTGACCCAGTTCCAAGATACCCCTTCTCAGTGACACCCCAGCAGGGGTCTCTGCTCCTGCACACACACACATACACACACACACACGTGAGCTCACATGAACATATGTGCACTCACACACAGAGATGTGGACACACATGCACGTGCACATATCTGGCCACACATGGATACACAGATGCATACATGTGCCTACACACTCACACACATGGGTGTGTATACATATGCACATACACACGTATGTGCATTTGGGCATGCACATATGTGTGGTCACACATGTACACACACATGCACTCGCACCCCAGCTGCTCCTCCCTCCCACCGCTCTGCCCGTACAGGGCAGGAGGCAGCAAGGCACCGGAGAGACCGTCCTCTTCCGGGGCCAGGCCCCACAACGGGAGCACCCATTCTCCCTGTTGGACCCGGCACCTCCAGGGCTCCCCAGGGCTGCCATGGCCCTGCAGCTGCCCGGCCTTCCCCTGCCAGGCACAGAGGAGGCCAGGCCCTCGGAGGTCTCCGCACTCCATGTCGGAGGCGCTTCGTTGCCGCTGTTTCCTCCGGAGGTAGTGAGGAACGACTTGGGGCCTCTCACACGGCCACAGCGGCCCAGCCCCAGGGCTGTGCTGGCGGGAGCCTCGTCCACTGAGCACCAGGGCCCTCTGGGTGGAATGCCAAGGAGAGAGGCACAACCCCTCAGTGCACAGGGTGGTGGGTGCAGGGAGGGCTGTGCCCAGGTGACCTCGGCGACTCCCCACGTCACCATAACTGCTGCCACAGAGATGGACCTGTATCCCAGCCTGTCCTTTACTGAGGAATTTGCTGCAGGTAAAAATTCTCCAACAGCAATGAAGCGTCACCGCGGCCACTTTCTGGGACAGAGGTCTTGCTGCTTGTGACTCTAGGACCGAACAGAGGGTGGGGTGCCATGCTGCATCCTACCACCAGGTGGCGGTGCTGGTTGGCCTTGGCGTGCCCGCGCCCTCGGCAAGGGATGGTGAGATGGTTCTGCAAGGTCTCATTGCAGGAGAGCTGCTGGCCCTGCGCTGCCCCGGGGTGCTGCTCAGTCACTCTGAGACCTCGCCCTCCTCCGCCCCCATTTCCCATCTCGTGGTGGGGAGGGAGCTGGCTCTGGGGAAGAGTGTCCCCCTCACATGTAAGCCCCACGTGACCCATCACGACTCACGCCTATGTGCTGGCGGAGCATTTCAGCATCACACTGTCCTGGCCTCCCTGCTCCAGGCCTGCAGAAGCCTCGGGTCTCCCTGCAGGAGGGCGCCCTCCACCTCCAGCCCCTCCGCCCTCCTCCAGCTCACCCGCTTGGGCTAGGCGCCCTCCTTGGCCTTCCGCTTGCTCGTGTACGGGATGCAGCACACCCAGCTGGTCCTGGTCCTGCAGGGACGGCAGGACGGGCTGTCTGCACCAGCAGCACCTCGGAGCCTACACCCCACCCCGGGCAGCACCTCGGAGCCTGCACCCCACCCCAGGCAGCACCTCGGAGCCTGCACCCCACCCTGGGCAGCACCTCGGAGCCTGACTCCACCCCGGGCAGCACCTCAGAGCCTGCACACCACCCTGGGCAGCACCTCGGAGCCTGCGCCCCACCCTGGGCAGTTGCCTTGGAGCCCGATCCCACCCCGGGCAGCACCTCGGAGCCTGCGCCCCACCCCGGGCAGCACCTTGGAGCCTGCGCCCCACCTTCGGCAGCCGCCTCAGAGCCTGCACCCCACCCCGGGCAGCACCTCGGAGCCTGCACTCCCACACGCCCTAGCAGGGGCTGCCCCTCCCAAATCCAAGGGCACAGGGCTCCAGACAGACGTGGCTTCTGTCCCACAGAACCTGTGCACAGAGCCGGCCTCCTTCCTTGTCCACAGCCAGCCCCACTGTCCTGCCCTCTGGCCTTGCAGGTCCTGAGCCAGAAGGGACCCCTTAACACCAGCGGCCACGTGAGCCCCACCTGGGGCCCCAGAGCCAGGCTCCCAGTGGGTGCAGGCGAGCAATCTCTGGAGTGGTGGCCTGTGCATGCCCCCAGCTGCTGTCTCGGCTTTTCTGCCTCGAACTAAAGCTGCCCGTCTCTGCAGTTGCCCTCGGCTCAGTGCCAATGCTGCCCACTGGGCACTGAGGGCACCAGGCCCAACGCTCATGCCCAGTTCCACGTCCAAGCAGGCCCAGTGGTGACATCTAGAGAGAGAAGCCTTACCAGGTGGCAGGAAAACCGAGACTGCAGGGCTGGGGACAGGTGAGCAGCCCAGGCAGCCCTCCAGGCCTGGCACCAGCCCACCTGCCCCCACACATTGCTGTGTCGTGGGGCGGGCCGAAACCAGGAGCCCTGGATCCAGGCGAGAACAGACCGTCACCAAGAAGCAGTGAGTGGAGCAGAGCTCCACTTAGAGAGACCCACACTTTTTGGCAGTGTGAGGGGACAGTCTCCACGTCCTGTCCAAAGCAGTGCAAGCTGGTCACGAGGGAGGGGGCAGGTAGGAGATAGGGGCTGCTGCGTTCAGACAGCTAGAACTTCCTCACAGACTCTCGTCTAAGACAGAGTGCACTAAAGACCAGGTGGTGGATACAACAGCCAGCTACAGCCACCACGGCCACCACAGCCAGCCACAGCCAGCCACAGCCACTCACCAGCCACCCACTGGCCACCCCAAAAAAAAGTGGCTGCTACACAAGCCAAGTGCTGCACAGCTGTCCGCCAGCGCTGCAGGTCCGGGGACGCTGTGCGCCCCGGCCTGGTTCTCAGAGGTGTGCTGGGCGATTTAAAGCCATCCTCTGCCGTGCTGGCTGCATTGTTCGTGCCATGTTAAATGATCACCAGTCAGTTTCATAAACCCAGTGGGACACTCTTCTTCCTGAAATCTCTGTAATAACTGAAACATCACTAAGCCGTGGACGTGAGTGGCTCGTCCCTAGTGGTATGAGTTCGAGCACTTCCTCCTCTGGGTCTCGGTGCTGTTTACCATGAGGAGCGACTTGGGGCCCTCCGATGGGCTGGGGTACCAGTGGCCTCTGTGGCCAGAGGCCTCAGGTCCTCAGGAAGTCTCAGGGCATTGCTGATCCCACCCAGGGTCCACCCTGATGGGCAGACCTGTCCTCCAGCCCAAGAGCATTTGCCCAGCCTTGGTCCGAGCCCCACAGGGAGAGTTTTGCCATGAGAACACCTGGGGGGGAGGTTCTGTGGCATCCACAGCTCAGATCCCACGGCGGAGAGCCTGTCACCACCCTCATTTCACCACCTCCCCTCCCTCCCTCCTCTCCCATCTGGACACCCGCCGGCCGATGGGACAGGGACATCCTCATGGGACTCAGCAAAACTAGGCCCCAACAGCCTCTGCAAACACTGTGGTCTCTGCCCCCAGGGATGGGGCAGCAAGTGGGCTGGCTTCTGCCGCCAGAAACTGGTGGGAGAAACGCCCACTGCAGTGCAGACGGCAAGCAACACTCACTCGTCCTCTGACAGGTCTCCTGTGTCCATCTGGGACTGTCCCTCTCCTTTCATGGCACAAGTGGCCACCTGTGGGGAGTGGCAGGACAAGTTAGGGACAGGGTGTCAGCTGCAGACACTGCCTGACCTGCTGGGTGCCAAGATGGTAAGATGGGTGGGCACCAAGACTGTCTTGACCTAGTGCATCCCCCACAGGGCTCTACTGAGGGCAGAGTGCAGATTGGCCTGCTGACTCGGGAACTGCAAGCCCCGTGGCACCTGGACTGTGGGTTGGGCACACTGGCCTCGTAGACCCAACTCTGCCACTGGATGACCCTCCATGACCTCTCATATCCCGAGTGCCCTCGTGCTGTGAGAACACCCAGATTTCTTTTCTTTCCAGTGTGCTTCAAGAGCAAAGGCAGACAGTGAGACTAACTGGGCCACAGGCAGAAGCTAAAACTCACCAAAGAGAACTTCACTGGCCTCCCAAAGATAACTGCTCACTCAAGCAGAGGGTGGAGGAGACATCCTAGATACGTGTGTAGGAAAGTCCCAGAGAAGCTAGTTCAACCTCTTGTTATAGATAATAATGGTGGTGAAGTGACAATGATGGTGACAAGGATGGTGATGGTGATGTGGTGGTGATGCTGAGGTGATGACATGATGGTGGTGATGATGGTGATAGTGCTGTTAAGGTGATGGTGTGATGATGGTAATAATGGTGGTGGTGATGACAGTGGTGATGACGGTGGTGACGGGCTGACAGTAATGATAGTGGTGGGTATTGATGGGAACGGTGACGGTGATGGTGATGGTGGTGACGGGCTGACAGTAATGATAGTGGTGGGTAATGATGGGGACGGGGACGGGGGTGAGGG